ATGTAGCTGCCGTAGCTAAAACTGCACGTGGCAACTAAATATCAGTTGTAAAATACGGACAGCTAACGTTTAGTTGTTATAGCTAAACATTTTGCTACTGTGCCTATTGTATTAGGTGCGATAGCAAACCGTTTGCTGTGGCTTAGAAATTCATAGTTGTGGCAGCAAAATGTTTTTAGCAATTGATTGGTTACGGTAGCGAAAATTTTGTGCCAGTGACAGGAACGTTGATTTGGTAGGTGATTATATGTCTAGTCTCAAAATGTTAAATTCTCAATCTTTCGATATTGCAATCTCGGAGTTGTTTTATTTTAGAGATCCATTTATATTGCTGTAATAACATGTCACAATAGTGTGAAGTCTTAATCGAGAACTGAAAAAGAAGCGAAGGATCATGACAGTTGTTCTAAAACAAATAATTATATTTTCAATGCTATGGACTTTGATTTCTCTTGACGCTTTTTTTATCTTACATCTTTAATGTTTCTTAAGTATTCATAGATCGATTAAAACTCGAAACTTTCTGTTTGCAGCAAAACTAATTTACTTAGACACTTATCATTAAAATCTAACATGTAATATGCATTATAAGTGCAGTTTGATTTACATATGTGTACTTTCATAAAATTATTTAAGACAAGACTATAATTTCTCTCTTAAAATATATTGCTCGACCAATAAGATACACCAAATCTAAGAAAACTTAAAAACAGTGAAGCGTAATCTACAATGTGCTCTCTGCGTCTAGAAACATTCTATTAAAAAATTTGTGCAAGTTGATAAATTGTATATATTGTGCATTGTATAATCGTACATTGTCGACAAACTTTTCAAGCGTTTTGATTCGTTTATATAAAGTAGAACGTTTCTAGATGCAGAAAGCACATTGTAGATTAAGTTTAGGAAAGTTGGGAACAGAAAACATTTTGAATCCGTGTGTGTTTCTCGAATTTAATAACGTTGCCCCTCTCGTCGAGACGAAATTCCACGTCGTCGATAGAAGCGATAAACGTCGCGCTGACGTCGTCAGGTGGAACAGGTCGCGCGAAATTCGATGCGGTCGCGTCGGGTGCAGCCTAAATCCGACCCTCGACGACATCCACGACGGCGCTTGCAACGGCCGAAGAGTCGAGCGTCGGTCGGTCGGAGGTCACGCTTATTGAGTTCGGTTCAAGAGCGCGCGAGTGCCAACGGCTCGCTTCGCTCCGATCGTCTTCGAGCCTCCCGTACCCTCGTTTCTCGTTTTTCGCTCGCCCGACCGGCCGCGCTATTCACCGTCCGCTATTTGCGTGCACGCGCACGCACGCAACCAACCCGTCGGGGAAAGAATAGCGATTCTCGCCGCCGTGCCGAGAGACCGAATTCCTCGCGCTCGAATCACGCGTTGAGGACACCTCCCTTCGATCTCGTCGCCCGGCGAGAAGATCGTCTTACGCGCCTGCTTTGGCTCGACATCGATTACGACACGGAGAAACGCCAGCGAGCAGTTGCGCGATAAGAATGTTGCGCGATGGAGTTTATCAATCGAATGTAGGATAAACTGATTGATGATGTAATGTGAGATTTAGTCTTTTCTCCGGCACATTTTCGCGCTTATTTCGGATGACGTACATTTTTATTTCTAAGAGGGAAGAGTGTAGTTGAATATTGATCCTTTTGTATTTATTTTGTATAAATCATTAATTTGTATAAATGGGAGAAAGAAAAGCATTGATTCAATGATACGAAAAGGCTGCGTGAATTATAAGATTGGCAATCCGAATAAGAAAAGAAGATTCAACGTAATATAAGTGGCAGAGATTCGTAATCGCGGATTCAACGTTCACCGAACTATGTGTATACCATTAAATCAATACCCCGCGTGAAGGTAAAAAACGAGAAAACAAGATTGAACATGAAAAATATCGGATCCCGGCAGCTCGGAAAAACGTAGGGACCGCGCGTCGCAAGGGGAAGACGGCGAAGCGTGAGGGAAAACGAGACGGAGGAGCAAGAGATAGAGAGAGGCGAGGAAAGAGCAAAGAGCTTGACAGGCGAGGCTGTAGGGGTGCAGGGCTGCGACCCGACTGACCCTACCTCGATGCCCCGGCCGCCTTCGGAGCCCTCTCTAGCCCTACTCCGCGCACCCTTACCCTCACCCTTAGCTCCCGGGGGTGGATGGAAGGCGGGCCGGCCCATTTTTCGCGCCCCACTTGACTCCACGTTCTCATTGGCTGCCGCCCTCTCGCTCTGACCTCTCTTCCCTCGGCTGCCCCTGACACCGGCGGGGTGGACGACCTTCCTTTTACCTGGGCCCTTCTTCCGGACTGGAAAAGAAGAAACGGCCGAAGACACCCGGACGAAATGTTAATCGCTCGTCTATAGTGCCATCCTCTAGCCGGCTAATATGCTTTCAAACAAATCTTTACGAGGCAGTTATGCAACAACGGCGGACCCCTTCTTTTGTAAAGCGAAGAAAATGCGGACGAGGACGAAATTAAATGACTAAAGACGGAAAAGTCGTTGTAGGGTGCTTGAAGATTGCTATTCGTCGCGGCGAATTCGGGCCGAAGCGGTCAGCGGAAATAATCGCAGACGGATTAAGTTGACGCGGAAAGAAGGAAGCGATAGGAATCGGGGGGATTAAAACGAGCTCGAGGTTGAATCCAGTGGATCGAATACGGCCGCCTCCCGAGAAGGCAGCCCGATAAGTCCGACAAGCGCTTAGAGGCGGCGATGACGACTGTATGGTAGCGGTCGTGGTCGGTTTGATAAAAAGCGTAATAATATGATCAGCAGGTTGAAGAATCCAGAGAGCTCGGGTCCGCGAGAAGAGATTACGAATAGAGTGGTGGAACATGGTGCGCGAGAGAAAAGGAGGAGGACAGGGAATGCGATAAGGAGAACTGCGAAGCACTTGTTCGTGGAGTTGGCGAATGGGGAGAAAAAAAGAGACAGCGAAAGAGTAAAAGGAGAGAGGAGAAGGGACGGCGAAAGAGAGGGAGAGCGGGACGAATAGACTGACGGCAGACGGATAGATAGATGAAGAGCGAGAGCGAGTGAGGAAGACATCGGTGCGGCGAGCGAGACAATCTCGGGCGAAGGAAGGAGACCCACTCATCAGCGATCGCAGGAGAGAAAGAGGGAAACGGCGACTAGATCGTGGAGTCAAAGTGGGTACGGAACTACTTGGTCGGGCAACGCGTGCTGGCTGTCCGGGGTAGGGCAAGCCCGTAGCCAATGAGAGGACGACCGGGGCGCGCCCGGGACTCGACCCCACCTTCAGTAGTCATGGCAACCAGTGGAACCCGCGAGAAACCCTCGCGGGTTTGCGATAGTGGGGGGTCCAGGTCGGTGTCAGGGGTCGCCTTAGTCGGCAGTCGGTCTCTGGTCGGCCCCAAGAATAGTCGTATCGAGGCGGTAGTCGAGTATCACCTCTCTTCTTCTCCTCCTCCTCCTCCTACTACTACTACTACGGCCCTCCGTTCTATTGCTGCTGCTGCTCCTGCCGCCGCCGCCGCCGCCGCCACCGCCACCGCCACCGTCGCCGCCGCCGTCACCGTCGCTGCCGCCGCCGCCGCCGCCGCCGCTGCCGCCGCCGTCGCTGCTGTTGCTGCTATTGCTGATGCTCGGCGCTGCGAGCGTGCGACGGAGGAACGACACCATCACGCACACCATCGCGCAACGCGCATCCGAAGAAGTACACGCGCACGCGAGCGAACGAGCGAGTAAACGTACACATCGGGGCTCGCGCAAACGCAAGTGTCGCTCGCGGCTGTACGATATATCGACTGCGTACGCGCACGCACGTACGTACGCACGCGGGAACATACGCAGGCACGCTCGCGGCTACGGATGAGAGAGCACTGAAAAGTTACACTCCAAATCGCGCCAAGGCGGAGCAACACGACCGCTCCGAACTGCTCCGGATTCATCTTCGGAGTCTGTCCATCCTTCCTACTCCCTCCCTCGTTTGATCGCGTGTCGTCTTCCTGATGCGCGGAGGGTTGACAACCGTCGCCGAAGTAGTTTTGATCGGTGCGAGTGCCGGTGTCTGAAACGCGAGACCTTCCTTCTCGGGAAATCGCGACGTACACGTGGAAAAAGTGAAGTGCCTCCGAGTGTATGACCGAGTGTGAAGGTTGTTACTGTTTGACATCGTTGTATCATTCGCGATCGTTGTTCACCGCGTGTTCACCGGAAGTTCTTGCGGGATGACACTGTGGTTATCGCGGCGCGAACGATCTACGAGTATTAACAAAGTTGATTGGAGTCGTGAGACCTTTACCTAAGCGCGATCGATACCTTCGGAAGGACCGGAGGATCGAACGGAAATCGGTTCTCCGTCAGTCCTAGGCGAGCTACTCGGCTGGAGATCTGGAGAACCGGAGCGAAAACGGAAGACGGATCAAACTGGAGGAAATGCGTGTTAAAGGATGAAGCTGTGACTTTGATATCCTCTACAAGTGTCTGTATGTACAATTGCATTCGAATGATAATTGGAGAACGCACGCGTCGGTCACGCGTGCAAATATGACAGGTGTCGGACATCACTTGTATAGTTTATTTCGCGATTACGCGTTGTTTATCGGCAAGTTCAGGACAGTGAAGAAGTGAGTGAAGAAACGTGATTTCTCTATAGCAGCGATCACCGATATACCAACGTCAAAGTGATCGACGCGCGAATCGCCGTGGACATTGGGACTGCGCCAGGATTTCCGCGTCTTCCGGGATACAGACTGATCCAATCGGACGAATTATACGGACGGGCTAAGCTGACCGGGAACCCACTGTCGGCCCCGTCGGTCGTCGTCGTCGGTCGAATCGCGTCTTACGGATAGGAAACCGGCAGGGTGGTTCGAGGCGGGACGGTAGGCGCGGACGCCCTGGCGACTGCCGGGGTGGTTTACCCGGCCGCGACGGCGACGTTGTTCCCTGGTCGGGTGCCAGCCGGACACCACCACCCCGAGTTCACCACCACGTTGGAGCTGGGGTTCCCGGCGCGCGGCACCACCGCCTCGATGGCGTTGGTCGCGCCGCCGCCCTCCTGGGCCTCGCGGGACCCCGGGGCCGCCCTGGGCGCAGCCGGCGGCGGCGGCGGTGGCGGCGGCGGGCCCCTTCAGGTAGGCCCGCCGCCGCCGATGCCGCCCGCGCATCTGACGCCCTCGGCCACGCCGGAGGATATCACCTGTCTGGTGCCCGCCGGCTCGGTTCTGACCTCGAGGGACCCCCTGCCGCCCAGTACCACCCCCGGCAGCCAGGCCAATAGCTCCCAGTCCGGCAGCTCGCAAACGGATAAGTCGCCGAACATCGAGTGCGTCGTCTGCGGGGACAAAAGCAGCGGCAAACATTACGGACAGTTTACTTGCGAAGGTGAGTCGCTCCACGGCGTTTAGAACAAGTGCGCAAGAATATCCCCGTAGTCGCGTCATGATTATAGGGTGACTTGATGGGCGCGTGTATAGTGACATATTCGGTTACCCGTGGGGACTAACGCTGCGATGATAATTGTTAGAGACGTTTCTCTAATGCTCGTGTTGATCACCAATGCTACAATAAACCTGTACCTGTAGTCGGTGACTATGAGATGAAGCGAATCGCGTTGATAATTTATGATTTATAGATCGAAGTAATGCACAAACGGAAATCGAAGATTAATTTCACATTAAGCACTTGCGTATTGAAAAATATTTATTTATTCTGGCGGTGGAAGCACGAACGTTACCGATAATAGAGACTCTGACCCAACGTTATTTTTTACGTACGAAAGAAAAATGGTTTATGAAACGTCAGACGAGCGACACAATGACAGTCATAAAAGCGAACGGGCGTTTTGTCCGCGAGGATAGAGATCTGAGATATCTCGTTGAAGAGATTTCACGGGAGATTCCACGGCAGGCGACACGAACGATAGCACGCGCGCTGGAATCGCGCGGCGAGGATAGGGCGACCGTCGAAATCTCTACCGTCGCGGTAGGTTCGCGCGAAGCCTCCTCTTCTTCCTCCGCGTGAAGGAGCGCGTGCACACGCCCTTTCGACGACTGTTCTCATTCTCTGCCGTGAGAGTATCGTGGGGTGCGACGGCTGTCCCCTTACCTGTGCCACCAATTTGTCAGCACGCGGGATAGAACTCATTCGCATCGGAATGCCCGACACCTATTTTAACGCTCTCGCTTACATTAATTTATTCAAGACGCGCACGACAAAGGGAGTAACGGAAGCGGGGAGGACAAGGCCGGAGGGGAGGGGGAAACGGCGAAATTTTTCGGGTTAATGAGAGGAAGAAAGAGGCCGTTACGGGTGGTAGAGGAAGACGGCGAGCGCAGGACGGGAGGCGGAAAAAGAGAGGGGGAGGAGAAGACGGAGAGGGAAGAAGAGAAAAAGAGTATATCGCGGCCATCGGGCGTGGAGAGTACGAAAAAACAAAGAGTCACCATTAATAACCCAGTGGGGTGTTCCCCGGAACGCTTACACGTCTGTTACGAGCCTAATAACGATGTAATAGGGCCGAGGAAATGAAGCGGGAGGAACGAGGACAGACGTCGAAAGGGAGAAGCGGGCGCGAGAGGGAAGGGTTTATCCCATTCTGGCGCCGATGATGACGGGGTTCGGTTCCGATGGAATGAGAAACAAATTGTTTTCACGGGCGGAAACAAATCCCAGCGGGTCGTCGAGAACGTGCGCGCGAGCGGCGAGTTATCGCGCGTATAAACCGTAGCGGCTAATTATCCATCGGCCAGATGTATCGAGGATAACTAATTAGCCGTGCTGCGCCGCGCCGCTTGTCGTATCGCGCCGACGAATCTCGCGATTTGTCGATACAAGGGAAGCGTTCCGGACGAGCCGTGCTTTGATTTCTATGTTACACGCCTCGCGTTCACTTTCTTTCCGTATCTCGAGTTAAATGCCCGTGGTGCCCTTCCCTTTTGATCGCCATGAAACTACGAGTGCGATTGTTGCGATTGGAAAGTAGGATTGAATATTAAATTAATTGTCGTTTAACTGTAGAACACAAACGTAAAGAAACTTCAGTAATAACGAACGTGGTTAACGGCGACCCGAAGAAATTTCCAATTGCTATAATAACTTTTCAATTTCAACGGATTTGAACGAGAGGCTTTTGTCTCTAGTTTACAACTTAGACATAGGTTTTAAAGAAATTCTAAATTGTTATAAATAAAAATGTAAAGCAACTTTTCTAAAAAGTCAACGGGTGACACCACGTTCGTGTTCAGGTTAACGTAACAACGGCTCTATGAACAGTCAATGTCTAAATTAGACTTCATCTCGTTGATAGGATGTCGTGACCGTAGACAGACAGACATAAGTAGCCGAAGATAAAATTTATTTGCACTTCGGCAATTCATCGCTTCGATTTAAAATCCGGATTCATGTTCTAGCAATATCGAAATGATTTTCCTGCAAAAAGATTACTAGTGCTTCGACTTTAACGAAGAGTAGAATTTAACAAAATAACGTATGAGAGTTTAGTTCCGATAAATAACGTTCGTTCTAATTATGCTCGAAGTTCACCGATAGATATTGTTTTCATTTGGTCTCCGCTAAGAGCGTTCGACCAGACAACTGCGTTAGCTTTCGTTATTTCGACACCGCTGGTAGTCGCATTCGCGACGGAGAACAACTGGGCTCTCGCAACGTCCATCCGCTAAATCATTTACGAAGGCGAAGGATCGAAGGCTCGAGACGAGAGGAGAGTAACGAAGAGAAATGTCGCGACTCGGCTCGGACAGGCGAACGGACTCGGGTTAATCGAAATCTACAGCACCCTCGGAAATCAGGAGTTATATATCCTCCCGCCCGTCCGCCCTCTCTCGCACGCCCTATTATCCCGAATTACGCCTTATTGATACCAGATTGCCCGCGGTAATTTATATCTCGCGGGTGATTTAGTGCACTTCGAGGGCCTTGATTAATGACACACAGCTATCTGCGGTTCCTCCTTTCCGCCCTTCTCGCTCTCTGTACTTGCACGACGCGTCTCGCGTCGGTTGGAGGCTGTGCAGCGAGATGCGTGAAAACTTTAATCGCAAATTGCTAACTCTTGAGCGATAAGTCTCGCGTGAATTAAAACTTCGCACGGACGATGTTTGCGCTTGTGACATAACTTGACACACCTTTCGTGAAGTTTTCGCAGGTGAACATATGAAATGTTAATTATTTATGGTTTTCGAAACATTGAATCATTATCCGCGATAATAATTACATTAATGATTTACACGAAAAATATTTTATCCGTTCCGTAGTTCGGAAACTTTTGCGCGCCGAAATGATCTAAAATTCGTGTCTCTCTCGCGTTGAAACGTTTCGAATTAATCATATTGACATAAATGAATATTGCAGCTGCTATTCTCATCGCCGAGACGATAATTCGACGATATCTGCCTTTTATTAAGGCGGAGAATATATTATTCTCTTCGCTTGGCCAAAAATAATTTTTACCGGGCGTTAAAACGGCACGTTTTGCCTTCGTGCCCCCTCGAGGGATACCGCGCCGTCGCCGTCGGGCCGACAAGTATAGCACGAGTAACGCGCGAGTATCCCATGCGAGTTCATAACATTCTTCTATTTACCGCACATTATCCTCTCGCCGCGGAGTGGTTCCGCATTTCTGTGCTTAGCATTCATCGCTCGCTAGACGTTACCGCAGGATCGAGCCTATTTGCGGTAACCGACAGCGGAGGATCAAGCTATTGAAATCTCGTTAGGTTCACTCGGTGTATTGCCCTCGACGGAGACGGGACCGTGCGTGGGATCTGGGCACGTAACACGCCTGGATATCACGTGGAAATCATGGGAAGGCATGGAACGCTGGCCGAGCGGGCGAAGACGAGACAGACAGATGGATGGATCTGTTCCGATGGCGAGCCCCGATCGATTCGAACAGATTGAAAAAGTACTGTGCTCCGATTGATCGGAACTGAGATTGGAGATGTATCCATAAAGTGCCTTCGCGTTAGAACAAAATAATATGGGAACAATAGTTGCCGTTTTGTAATTCGTAAGCGGATGGAAGATGTTGATGTATTGTATGTGATCCAAGGCTCGTGTGATTGTCATAATTTTGATAAGATTTCAAAGTTCACGATAGAATATCAATGTGTTCAACCACTGAAATCATTTATTACATATAATTCATTTTTTTCCATTGTCGCGAAGATTTTTAATCCGCCAGTATTGGCATTTCTTGCTCCAGCGATATAATGATAGTCTCATAATAATAGAGACGCATAAAAAACATGTGATTTGGAATTAAAGCATGAACTCGTGACTTTCGAATACGCGATACTTCATCAATGTCAATTTACGTCTGCATCTTTTAGCTGAGAAACAAGTACACACGAAGCTGCATGTTTCGTAACTGTATTGTTAAATTATTACGTTGCATCTCGCGCTATCGCACAGTTCACGGATCCATTCGGACACTTGGAAACATCCCGAATTATCCGTCGCGGGGATGGGCGAAGTTGTCGGGCAATTAAAGCATGTCGGCGCGTCGTCCGACTCGATTACCGCGGCGTGCGCGCTTAGCGATAATTGCTTCCGTGTACAATGTGTAAACCGTTTCCGACGGCTCGGCTAAACCGCGTGTAATCCGTTGCTCCGTGCAACGACGAATTTCACGAATTGCCCCGGCCACGTCGGCCAGATGTCGGCTGACCACCTCGCTCCGAGCACGCGGAAATGCATCCGCGGGGCTGCAACCAGCCGGCCGCGTCGCGTTTCCCGAAGGGCCTGTTCTCGCCACGCGGGATAATTGACGGTTGAGTCTGCCGGAAGAACCGACCGACTTTATTCGATGAACGAGTTCGTTACAGTACCGGCTATTAATCTGCGGCCGCTATGTAATGAATTGATCGTAGTTTTTACGAAAGAAACAATCCGAGAGGCCTTACACGCTTTTCATGTATCGAGTAACGTTTTAATAAGAAATAGATACTCATCAACTCGAGGGCACAATTTGTCATTAGGTATATTTCATTGCTATTTTATCTTTGATAATTAAAACGTAAATACCTGATAAAATCTAAAAGCGGAACATTGATTTATCGAGAGGATTGGATCCTTCAACGATGTTACTCTGCTCATTTTAGCATTCATTCGTACATTTATTATATGCTACGATCACAGAGGACGCGGTGTCATATTATTCATTTTGTAAAATGGAATATAGTATTCAGTTAGATCGCAACATATCGGGCGGTTCCTCGTTGTCTTTGTAAAACTGGAAATAATGTAGAGTTAAATCAAGACCATTGTGATAACAAATCAAGAATAGAGAATTTTTAGGTCCGAGCAAGATGTACTCTGGGAAAAAAAAGACAGTTAGCAACCCATTTTGGGGCCCACAATTA